ACATTAATGTGGAACATTGGGCTTCATGCTACAGCATGGATGAACCTTATGGTTCATTCTGCTAAGTGAAGTAAGCCAGTCGCAAAAGGCCAAACACTGTATGATTCCCTGTGCAGGAAGTAACCAGGGCAGTCAAACTCACAGAGCCAGAGAGGAGAGCGGTGGATGGTACTTCCCACAATGTTCACTTCAAGATGGTTAAGACAGCATATGTCATCACAATTTAAAAATATTACCCTCACACCAAACCGGCAAAGGGGAAACTGACAGAGAAATCTCTCCAGGCACTTGAGCCCATCATTTATTCCTGCTTTCTGTATCAGTCAGTTCTCGCTGCATAACAAACAGTTCCAAAATTAGTGGCTTAAAACAAAAACCATTTATCCAGATTATGATTCTGGCCAGGTGCGGTGGCGCATGCCTGTAATCTCAGTACTCCGGAGGCCAAGGCAGGAGGTCCACCATGAGTTCAGGGCCAGCCTGGGCTACATAGTGAGACCCTGTCTGGGAAAAAAAAATGATCCTGGTTTGGCAGTTTGGGCAGCTCAGACGGGACTGATACTGGTAGATGCTGGCTCACCTACCAGCTCTTCCGTGAGTCCTCTCTGCCCTGTGTAGTTGCTCATCCTCCAACAGACCAGGCCCAGTGCATTCCATGGTGGTCATGGCCGGGGTCTCCAGACAAAGCAGCGCTTCCTAAGGTGCAGCTGACTCTCACACAAGGGCATTTCTGCCTCATTCCACGGTCCAAAGTAGCAGGCTGGTAAAGGCCAGCCAAGATGGAAAGATGGGAGAAATACCCCTACCTCTCAACAGGGGAAACTGTGCAGAGTCTTTGCAATCTACCACAAGGCTGTGTATTGCCAACCCCTGAGCTGAGTGTGGCATATAAAAATATAAATAAAGCAGAGCTGAGTAGAGGAGGCAGACATGGAAATAAATTACACGGTGTGTTATAAAGAAGGCAGCGGGGGCTACTGTGGGAAGGTGCGGGGAAGGCAGAGGGCAGGAGAGTCAGTGGAGGGAGGAAAAGGACAAGACGCCTGGGACAGACCGTACCTGAGGTCACAATTAAGCAGACGAAGAAGGGAAGAAAGATCTGCAAAGAGGGGGCAGAGACTTGGAGGGAGGACTTGCTGGGGCCTGAGGAGGCTTCTGAGGAGTGAAGAGGACCCTCAAAGTTAAGGAGGAGCTGGGGCCCGGAAGGCTGCCCTGCCCAGCCTGGAAGAGCTCGTGTGTGCAGGGCCCACAGCCAGGTGCCAGAAAGGAGGAGCAGCTGAATGCTGGAGGGTCAGGGGGCTGCAGGGAGCCAACACCCAGGCCAGACTCCTCGCAGAGGATCCCAGAAGGCGCCCCCGAGAGGAAGGGTTGACCTTTGCCAAGACGGGGCAGGAAGGAGGGCAGCTTGCGCCGGAAACCAGCAGGCACCAGCTTCCTCCTGTGGATCGGGGGCCCCTCCCACAAGCACAGCCCGCAGCGTCCTCCCGCCGGCCGCCTGGGGCAGCAGTGAGCACACACCAACCGATCAATACTTGAAAAGCGCCCACCCTGCTGTGAAAAGGAATCCCCTGGTGAGCGCTTTCATAAATTGAAAAATTCTCCTGGAAGTATAAAATCCTGCCCAATTATTAAACCTAAATTTCGGCAAAGGGAAAGTGGCAGAGAGCAGACGCACCCTCGTGGAGGACGGTGAGGCCTAATCTCCATGCACAAACCAGGCCTAGCCTTGGCCCCAGATTCCAGGAGCCGCCAGCGCTGCTGCAGGGACTGGGGCTGTGGTCACCTCCGGGACTTGACAGGAAGGGACATGCCAGATCATTAAGTCGCGCAGGCCAGGCAGTGGGCACGCACCGTAGGCACAGCTATCCAAAACTGAGGCTGGCAGGCTGGGGCCACTTGCCCAGGGTCACATGACCACTTAGTGGTGGGGCCAGAACCAGGCTCCGGGTGCTGAAATTCTAACATTCGTACCCCCAGATTTGCTCAAAAAGGTGGCGTCATCCCTCTCTGGCCCGGGGTCTGGGCACTAATTCAGTTGGAGTTCTTGCTGGAGCTGGGTGTGAGGAGAGCCTGCCTGGACACTGGTCCCCTAGCCACCCCCTCCTGCCCCCTCCCCCTCCCCCCCGGCCCACCCCCAAACTCACCCCT